GAGAAAGACATTTGAGATCTTTAATCCATCCTACAAAAGGGTAGATTTGGCCAAGAATTTACTGTAGAATACAGACATTATTACCAAATGTTTTCCACTTCTTAAGAACAAAAGAATAAAAAAGTACATGCTTAGTTTAAGCGTAGGTGCAAACAGTTGCTTTCCTTTGCTTGAGAGAGCAATTTCTTAAAAGAGTAGTATTAATTCCTTGCTAAAAACTAAAGACATTAGGTGCCTTCACAGGGAGAAGTCCACAGGAAAGGGAGTTTGTATCATAAGATACCCCCCTTTAGAGTGGGGTTCCAATAAAAAACAAAAACATATTCCACCCCATGAAGAGTCAAGCTTTCTAGCACTGTGCCATTCCCTCTCCTTGCAGCCACAATTTTTTTAAAGTTATTTTAATCACTTAAAGCAAGATTATTGAGGGACTCACTCCCATTCCACCCTACGCCTCTCACACACATTGCTGTAAGACATATCTTTAAGTAACAGTAGATATATTTCATATTTGTAAAGGTAATTTTAATTGAAACAAAATATTTAAAAAAAAATATCAGATAGTGACTTCTATTCTGGTATGTCTACCACTGACCGCTCACTGTCTGAAGTCAAATCCACAGCATAATGCATAAACTGAAAAATAATTTGCATGATTGAATCTAGTTAAGCTAAACAAACCACCTGTTCAAATAAGTAGGTCTCATTACAAACCAGATGTTTGTTCTTCCAAATGCAAATGGAGGACTTACAAGGTGATAAAGTACTTCTGTGCAAACTTTAGCCTTTGTCTAAACATGCAAATTGTAAATACCTTCTACAAACACACTCACCATAACACTTCTAAAAATTGCGCTATTTCACAACTTTGCTGTTATATGTGACCATTATTAGTATTCTCCCATTTTAGTCTTTGGTGGTGTTCTAGAAGCGCATCAGTACACAGAAACCAGAGAACTGAGCTTGCAACCCAGCAACCAGGCTCTATCTCCACGGGCAGCCTGTACCCTTCATGTTTGCGCCGTGTGTCCACACACTGCCTTTTACAAAACCGTATTTTAATGCACATCAAACTAAAAATGTCCCCTTCTGTTAAGGGAAGGTTAAAAACCAAACTGAAATGGCTACAGTAAAGCAAGACATGTTTTAGCTATGAGAAAGTGTTCCTTCTCTGTACAAGTACCTGAGAATATTTAGGGTCAATACTAACAATGTCTTTTCATGCATTTAAACAACCTTTTAATCTAAAAAAAAGAAGAGTAATACTCACAGTAAGTGCATGCCCTGATGATCTGAATTCCTACAGGCAGCCATTAAACATATTCATTCTATTTTTATTTTCCTTACACAGAAAAGCTGGCAAGGAGAACACTTCAAGACCTCCCTCAGGATAGGTTTTAATTTTGGCCTGGGCTCATAAGACTGTTAAACACTCCTGAAAGTCCCATCATGTTCTTCAAATCCATCAGCACCTTACAGGGAAGTGATTCGCTGTCTTCCTCCAGAGTACAAACAGCATCAGTTTCTTGTACCAGTAGAAAAAATAAGTATATCCATAAAAATACACATATACTATTCTAGACACAGTATGAAACTTACCCTGCTTTGAGAAATCATTAATAATTGATTTGTGAGAGTATGCTAAATACAGGCCACCGATGTGCTATACGATCAGATTACAGCGGTATGTTGTGCCCCTTTTTGCGCAAATTAAGTTATATTCTGAAGTTTCAGAAACATTGCAGTCAAAATACAGATTCTGACATGAGTTATACCAACATGAGTTACAAGAAAATGTAAATAAACCACTAGTTGCTCTATTTCTAACAAGGAGAAACACATTTTAACAAAACTAAATTAAATGTATGAAATCCAAAGTAAACACTTACTCAATACTAGAAATTGTAGCTTTCCTCAGGTACTGACTGTGCAGGCACCACCTGTCTCATCAAGACAAGCCCTTTACATTGCCATCAAATTTTATAGGCCACCAATTCAATTCCTTTTAACTAAGCATAATATTTATTTATGTTTTTAGAGATACAAATCAAAACATCACAACCAACCAGGCTGTCAAAGAGAGAGCATTTAAGCTCAGTTCTTCAATGTGCAGTGTCAGTATGGGACAACCACCCAACTCAGATGCCCAGTTAAGACTCTGACTCCTACTACCCTCCTTTGATTAGCCCGAGACATCTAATGATAGTACCCAACAACAGTATGCAAACCTCATCACCCATCTGCACTAACAATATATGGGACTCATGTCAATTTTTGTCATGGATGGGCAATTCCACTTTTGGCCTCAAAATAACTCTCAAGAGATGACTGTACAGAATAGCCTTCCTCCAAGTTACATTCCCAAAGAATAATCCTAGGAGAGCTTTATTCTCTTATCCTTACAGTAAATTACTTTTTCTTGGCTCAGAGCTTTAAGATTTTATTGCTTTTTAAGTGAGCGATGAAAGATTTAATCACAGATTTGTTAGATTTAACCACTGAACACAGGCTTTTCCAGAACCTTCCAAGCTCCAACAGGAGTCACAGTAGACGTTCTCAACTATAAACACTACTGGAAAAATTTTGGATTTGCCATGGACTTCCTCCCAGTAATCACTCACAGCTTGAGTTTAGCAATAAAGAAATCCACCACCGTGCCCCCAACGCCATCTGGGAGATCAGGCTTTTGGCAGAGAAAAATGGAGCGGCAATTGCCTAGCAGCATAGGAAATCAATGACTTCCCCACACAGGGGCGAGTAACAGGCTGCTCCTGCTGAGCGCAGGATCATTCATTTCCCTTTCTGCCAGCAAAGCTGCTTTGTACGTGCAGTGAGCAAAGTCTCCATTACACTGGCACGACACACATATCTTCCCCCAAATCCTGTCCTTACCAGTAGGGTTAGGCGGCCAGCTATGCAATCTCAGCTGAAGAGCCAGCAAAGGAAGGACTGAATACACGCAGAGACACCAGGCTCCTGGGAGAGCCTTTAGGCACAAGGGTTTCAAGGCTATGAGGTAGGTAACAAATGCGCCAGCACACCACTGATTTAAGCTCACTTCAAATCCCATGGCTTGACAAAGGATTCAGCTGAACATTGACAACATCAGGGTCAGGAAAACCTAGTCTTCCTAGTACTATTTCCTTCCAGCAATTAGAGCTCTGAAACAGGTGTAAAGGTATTTGTGTGTGTTTGTTTGTTTTAAGTAGAGCCATTAGAGGGGAGTTTGGAATACATATTAAAAGTGAGCACGTTATCCAGGAGACAACAGGCCACATTGACATCCTTCCAGGCTGCACTTCTTGATAAATAAACCACAAGTTTATTTACACATATAATACAAAACAGACATGCATCTTTTTTTTTACTGAGAGGGTTTACAGGAACTGGAAGAGTCACTCAAGATCTTCTGTCAAGGTCACAGCAGAGAGCACCACTGTTCTCCGCAGCTTTTAAATCCCAACTCCTTCCTCAAATTTACTAGCCTTAGTGCTCCCTGGAGCATGAGGCAAGGTAAGGAGGACAGGAGTTGAGAGTTTCCCCAGATACACACTTTACTTTTGCTGTAGGCGGAAAGAATTTCACATCCACATTTTTGCTCCAGGTCAAAGTTCCCAATGAAGTCACAGTAACGGCATCATTACAGGCATGTATGCACTCATCAAGAACTGAACTACTGTCTAACTGATGTCAGAGGTTACCAATACAAAACCGCAGATGGAAGGGACTTCTGGTCAAGCCAGTCTTGGCTCTGATTTGAACCAGTGCTCTGAATAAGCAGCTTCTCCAACCACCAGCCCTCTCTGAGATCAGAGGGTATTGCTGTAGCTGCTTCCAGAGCTATGCTTGCATATTAACCCCAGTAACTGCAGACATGTTAGGATCACCACTGGATCTAGCTGACTCTTTACCTGTACCAAGCATATTTTGCAGCATCTCCTGATAGCTACACTGTTAGTTATATGTCTGCAAATTATTGAGCCTAGAATCTGTAAAATACAGCTATATTACAGCAGAAATATCTTGGTCTGTAGCAGCTTCTAGCTTCTCAGGGAGACTCCTCATCTTTCTACCCAAATTTTATACCTCTATCATTTCTTCAATCTAATAAGTTACATTTGTAAATGCAAGTATCTGCCTTATTTCTCTAGAGTCATCATTGCTCTAAATCAATTCAGGTCATGCTGAAATTAGTCTTGCCCTTCACCAGGTTAACAGCTTCTCCAGTTTTGCTATAATTAACACATGTCCGTAGATAAATTACAAATAAAGTGAAAGACAAAAAAGAAGTAGGATTACTCTGTAATATTTTTATTGCCCCTCCATCCCCAAGTTCAATAAGAAGCCTCTCAAAATCTCACTCTACCCCAATTTAATAAGTCAGCAAAAGAGAGACACTGCTTGAAGGTATTTCATGGAAGAAATAACATGTAACCTACAAGAGACTCCTCAATAAGTGTGGCCACCAGACATAACCCCACCTGTTTTTCTGCAAAAGGAAAAAAGCTCACTCATTTTCTAAGCTTGCACCTTCTTCATAGTCCATTCTAGCTGCAGTCAGACTCATCCCTTGGTCACTCTGGACAGCAGTAGGCCTGCATTTATCATGGTGGAATGTGTCCTCACTGTTTGTTCTTACAGTTTACGGAAAGGCAAGTACAATGACTCATAAAACTGCTGCAAGAAAAAGCTGAAACAAGTTAACAGAATGTGCTTCTTTAAAATTACATCCTTCATCCTACATTTCCAGCATGCAGAGCCAAAACCACATCACACTTTCAACTGACAGATTTAGACCTATTATTTATCATAAATGGCAAGACCATCACTGAGGCCAAGTAATGCTTCACAGTGTGTTTCTGAACTTCTCACAGATCTTAATTACACTATAAACAGTGGAAGGCCTGGTTCTAAGTTATTTTTTACCAATGTACTATTCTTTTCCTTTTGGAAAATTGTATTTTCTTCATGCTGAGAATGATCATCATGAAAATTCTTACCTGTTTTCCATCTAGTGTGTATAAGCGTTTAACCACCCCTGAATCCAGCTTGATGGCATCGGTTATATCAGTAAGAACCTGTTCAAATGAATGTGCTGTCTTCTTGTTGAGCAGAATCCGGACTGCTTTCCGTGGTTTCACTCCGCTCCTGATGATAGTGACTAGTTTAGGCCTAATGAAATCCTTATTCTCTTTTGTATCTGGAGTACCTCCTTTAGCAGTGGCAAGAGACGGCACTGAACGAGAAGTGGAAGTTGTCTTAACATTCACTGACCAGTTTGGGTTTACATTCTTCGTGTACTCCAGTTTCTTGAAGGGTTCTATGGAACCACATACATAGCTTTCCCCTGCGGAAACAAAAATGCCAGACCAGCAAGTCAGATTGGAGGGGAGAGGGGGAAACAAACAAATAATAAAAAAAAACAACGACCCCAAAAAACACAGAAAAATACCAAATCAAATCCTTCTCAAATTATTAAACATTATTGTTAACATTCTTGATCTACAGTGCATAAGGTATTGATCTCTTCCCTTCTCAGATGTTACAGGCTACAAAATATCTTTTAAAGATCGTCAGCTAACCACTCAAAAAACTCTGCTACAAAATCCTTGAAAGCAGCAGTTTTCTTTTCGGAAAACACCATCTGCAGTGGGGATCGCTGTTGTCAATAAGTAGTGTTCAGATCTAATCAGCTGCCCAGCCCCAGCGCATTATCACAGTAGTCCCCCAGCCTTCGTGCTTAAATGGCCTGGTCCTATCAAAACAGCAGGCCCCAAACGTTTCATATTATTTCCTCTGAAGTGTTATCAAAAACTATAGGTTCCAAATAACTTTCTATAAAAAGTGAATGAACGTGTCATAGGAGATTTGTTAACATTTAATTATTTAAAGCTTTAAGTAGCATAAAGCCAGAATACATATAGGCAAGAAATCTCACTGTATTATTCTATTGACTCAATATATAATATGTGGGGAGGAAAGGAAGGCAAAGAATAGTAATTACAGAGTCCTCACAACGAATTTATGATACTGAAAAGAAGAAAAATATATTATAGCTTGTATTTCTATTGGAACATTACCTACAATAAAATATTTTTGCAATTACCATACCCACATGATTTCTGGGGAGCTAGAACATAGCCAGAAAACACCAGCATGTCTCTGTTCAGTAACACCTTAACCCAGTCCAGCTGCAGGCTGCTGCAAAAGGGGCTCCTGCTTGGGTGCTCCCAACCTCTCCCTTGAGCTCGACTGAGTGACTGCACTGCCAGTTGCACTGGATGAGTTGGATCCTCTTGTTGATCTGACCGAACATAACAAAGATAATGCTAATTTTGCAACAAGCTGATCCAGTTCACCCTCTGGCTGCAAAAGAAAATCCCAAAGAAAACAATACTAGATCCAACAAGACCACACCTTCTGGCGGCCTGCAGTTAAACTCCATTACAAATAATGCAAAATCCTATCCTGAACAATACCACAACATCTGAGATGTTTTAATTCTTCTGGGTTCAGTGTATGCTAACAGCACAGAGGCCTTCATGTTAGCAGTTTAGCCCAAGGTATTAAAATAAAAACAAAACAAAAATCAGTGATGTTCCTCTTGTGCCAAAAAGCACATAATAACCAAGGATTTTCTTAATGATCCCTACCCTAAGGAAAGAGAACTCACAGTTCAATTACTAAAAGAAAAAGAAGTATTTAAATTTTACTTTTGGACACAAATTGTAAGGTTTTAGGGCACCCAACCCAATCCCACAGACAATACAGCACACAAGGAATGCTGGCAGATATACAGAGTTACCACAGTTAGAAATCCAGGGGGATCCACTGGGACATGAGGTCCCGGATGCAACAGAGCTTCAAGTCTGCTGGCATGATGCTCCAAAGGTGAGATACTAACACACTGTACAGTGATTATCAGAAAGGCAGTGGAAGGACTCCAAAAGAAGACAAAGAAGTCGGAGCAACATGTGAAGATGGATCACTGAGCGGAAAAGATGTGTGCAATGACAGCATCAGATCAAGCAAGAACCACAAAAAGATTTGGGTTTTTTTTGTGTGTGTTTGTTGGTTGGTTTTTTGTTTTTTTTTTTAAAGCAAAATAAAATACGGAGTGGGAGATGAAGTAAGACATTCCAATGCTTACTAGCCATTGTGTAAATTCAAGTTAATCTGCACATTGCAGTAACGCTGAAGCGTTAAGAAAAGAATTTAAGATGGAATGCTTACACGAACCTTACAAGAGACAAAGGTAAGCTGTTCCTTTTATCCATTGTACATATTAGAGAGAGATATAGATACAGATATGCTAACATCAGAATAGAAAGGCTTAGCTGCAGCAATGATCCAATAGTGATAAAGCAGTACATATTATCTTTTATCCATGTCTCTGTCCAATATTTTTAGCATTAGCTACTCAATTACTTTAAGCTCAGAATGCACCCACACCACCCCATCCATAAAATTAACAAGTTTTAAAAAACATTAATAGTGTTTTGTAAGGAAAAAAAAAATAAAGATCATACGATGGATAGGACTGCATTCAATACAATAAATGTCTGTTCTGTAAAACACTGCAGAAGCCCCTTTCATAAATTTTTAAACAAAATTTATTCTTGTGTACACTTGTGCTTGCTGTGATACTTAAAATCCACCAGCAAACTTTTTTTTGGGAGGTGGGAGGGAATAAAAATCAGATTTTCAGGTTCAATGCTATCAGTGAAATTGTTCAGCTTAGTTTCACGAAATAACATATTAAAACTCACTTTTCAAAGGGTAGATATATAAACAAATGGCCATACACGTTGTACCCAGAACATTTACATTTAGTTTATTAAGAACTCTTTTGGTTCCCCTTCTTGAAAGGATAGCATTTGACATGATTTTAAATTTCAGCTATATTTAAAGGTCAGCTGGGTTCCTCATAGCGTTTAACAGCATGTCAGCTCTTCGTTACAAAACTAGTTTTGTGTAAATGACCATTAAAAAAAGACCAATACAATCACTGAAGTTATGAAATCGTTTTAACATCATTTTTTCCTTTTCTTCATTTTAAACAGTACTATATTACATGAATAAAATATTTGCACCAAGATTTTTTCTTCCCTTGAAGAGGCTCATATTTAGCTCCACAATATCTTGGAGATAGAGTATCCAAGGCCTTCTAAGATGAAATATCTTTAGTAAGAGCTATCTTATATATGAAAACAGAAATACAGGTATTTCTCCCATAATGCTGTTATTTAAGACTGTTTATACTTCAAGTGAAGTGCTGGGGCTTATAAACCTTCAGGGATGTTAGCCAGGGACTGCAGTTCTCATTCACAGTGGTCCTAAGGGCCAGGCCTGTAAGAACAAAAACTAAGAGGACAAAACCTCTATGTCCTAAAAGTATTTCATATCTGATCTTAAGATCAGTAAATCCTGTTTTATGGTGACATCCAGCAAATTTTAAGTACTGAAAACACTAGAAACACTCGAATAAAAGCTTAAATTTCCTGAACATGAGACCCACCCTGTCAGCAGCTAGAAATTTCCAATATTGAGCCTAATCCTTTAGTGCTCGTGGTGTCTGTATGCAGAGGAAATCTCAAAGAAAAATACAGTAAGCCTTCACCTACATTTTCATCCTCTCTTCTTTTTCACAGTTACCTTAAGGAGAGAAGACTGCAAAGAAGTTTCACAAGGGGCATGATTTACTATAGTCAAATAAATCCACTTTCTGCCTTTACTATTGCTTCCTCACCAAAACTATTAGGTGATAACACAATTTTCTTTTTTATTATTATTATGTTTATTTTTGGCAACCTTTGGCTAAAACTGCCTCTCAGACAATAGCCTCACCCCCATGACTTGTACCTGAGGTGAGACAGACGCTATGATCTGTGGACAGGCAATACCAGCAGCAAGTTGGTTTTCCCAGCTCCGAAGCACCAGGAGAATATACCTCCGGTGGTAATCCCACTGAGCATCATCAACTCTTACTCTGCATCAGGCCTAAGCACAAATACAGCCCACAAACATTGGCTTTGACTAACTGGCAGCTGGAGGAAGAAAGTAACGACCTCCAAACACTAGATTTGTTATGGAACACGTGTTGAAGAAGGAATCTTTGGAGATACCGGATTAAATGAAAGCATAGAAAAGACAGACCACTGAAGTGCCTATTTGACCACAGGTCTCCAAGAGAGGGGAGCAAGTATTTCAAAGTGCAGTCAGCTGTCACTAATGAAATTTTGACTCTTGATTACACTATCAATAGCCATTGGAAAAAGAGAAGGAAAGAAGGACACCCAGCTGTTTTGGGATATCTGACATCTAGGAAAAAAGTTATTACTAAATCTTAGAAGGTATCCCTTCCCTGACAGCCCTCCTGCCTCCTCACATCAACAGTGCAAATGAAAACACACACCACTTTAACCCTTAAAAAAAAAAAAAAGAAAGAAAAAGATACACAATTCTTGTTTGCCAGTTTTAAACCAGTAATCCCACAATTTAACTTGTGTAAGTGCTCAACACTTCAGGAAATTCCATGTGGAACTATTAAAATAAACCTTAGCATTGAGAAGCTAATCAGAAGTCTAATCATGTAGAAGGACAGATCCCAAAACAAGGTTTATGCTTTAAAAAAAAAAAAAAAAAGAGACTAACAAAACCTTACTACCTGTAGTTACACATTTGTCAAAATACAATGCAGCTGAACCAATAGAGCTGTGTAACGCTGAAGGACAGCTCTTATAGATCACGACAGATTTTTATGATGTGTATCATGTATTAAAAATATAATTTGAAAAATAATATCTGTGTACAAGGTGGCTGCTAAGGAGACATTGAATCACTGCCTGTAAGTACTGGAGCTTTCCTGATGCAACTATAGATTCCCTCTTTGGCATATTGGCATCAGCAGTTACTTTGTTCCCTTCAGCTTTCTGATATTCTCACTACAAGAATGATCAAGGCATTATCTCTTAAAAGGGATTATTTGCATTGCTTTTCTGTGCTAAAGGCGACTTGGCCTAAAATGGCTTCATAAAGCAGCCAGCTGGTCTTAGGTGAAAACCCTGGAGAAGGAATAGACAACCTGTTTGAATCGCGCAAGCAGAGAGGGAACAACGAACCCCTCTTTGTGAGGCAGCAGGACTGGCAAATTATTGAAAATAGCATTGGTTCCTCACAGAAGGGTAAGTGGGAGGAAAGCAACAGATGGGGCAATAAATTGATTAAGAGAACGGGGAAGGGACGGGCACTTTCAGCCCCCTGTGCAACAGGAACACCTGCCCTTCTTCACTTCCACCCTTTTGCTTTGTACATGCAAAAAGGCAGAAGAGCAATCTCTCGGGGGGA